GGGGGGGGGGGGGGGGGGGGGGGGGGGGGCGTACGGCCGCGTACTCCCATAGAGAAGGACAGGGGCTGCGTACTGATCACACGCAGCCCCCTGTCCTTCCCGGGGGCTGCCCGATACGGCTGTGCACGCAGCACGGAGCCGTACCCGCCGGCCTTTTCTAGTGTGAATGAGGGCTTAACGAGTCGAGGTGGAAGTTCCGCTTTAAGTGCATTTATATGACTCAATGAAAGCAGTAAAAGAAAACAAAGCATCTAGAATTAATAAGGTCGCAGAGGACCTGGAGGTTTTGGTCATCAACCTGCATTTCATTCTGTTGGCACGAAACCGCAAAAAGGGTACCGATCGTGTATGCAAAACCTGGCATCAGGTGACCAAATCAAAGCGGCCTCCCGCTGCACATTGAAGCGCCTGCTGTCATTTCAATAGATATCGCCCCAAGACATACAGGAAGAAGGAGATAGCTGTAGGGAAAGTGAAAATGGTATAGGCAGGGCACTACAGAATCCTGGCAATAATGGGTAAAAGGCAGAGTGTATAAGCCTGTCCGACATGTGGGGGGTGGGGGGTGTTTGGCTTTGGTATTTTAGGTACGGGCTGGAAACGGTTCAGCATCGCTGCGACTGCCAATGTATCAAGAAATCTCAGAAACCTTACGCTACACAAAATGAAAATCGCCGAATCTTGCGAACCAACAAAACGTTCCAGGTTACCTTGCTGCAGCGTTTTTTTTTACTGCTTACCAGTAACAAGAGAAAGAGACTACCGTTAAAAAACAGCGACAAGGCTAACACTCTGCTACACATCAGCCTACCGGGGAGGCCCCCTGCCACAACTAGATCAGGATCGAATTGTCCTATGCGAATAGTTCAAATCGTGACGCAGTTTATTAAAAAGGTGGTGTGTGCACACCTTAACGGTATTCCCACCAATCTTCCTCCCCTTGGTCTCTTTTACAGCTGCCTGGGCAAATTCAATCTCACTGTAGAGAATCAGGGCCATGCCTTTAAAGCGGTCGTACACCACCTGTCAGGAAAAGAACAAACAAAAAACAGAGGACACATAAGAGCGGCGCCCACTCAGGACTTGGTCAAAAGATCAGCGTTCGTCTGGTTTCAGGGAGAATTTAATTTTTTTTTTGATTTAATGCCATTCTTTCTATCCCACCGAGAAAAACAAAAAGGAGCCGAGCGATCTACAACAATTTGACTGACGCTAAAAGGATCTACGGTCGGGCTCTGCATACTTCCCACATAGGTTATTGTTACTGGTAAGACAGCTGTGGATTTGTACTAAAAAGGGACGGTAAAGCAATCATCTATACGGTTCTAGAATGGAAGTGGCACCCTCCACAATCAGCTGTCGGGTTTACGTGCGTCTAGTGTCACCCGCGCCATTAGCGCGGTGCAAAAAAACTTTGGCCGTCCTAAAATGCACTGCACACAAATTACCGCTACAAAATCAGAACAGCTCGTTACAGAGTTCTGTCTTTTTACGTAGGCAGCCATCATGTCTGACAACATATGTATTTAAGGAGGGGGGGGAAAAAAAGGACAGAAAAGATTGTAAGGAGGATATAGGATCACCTACGTCACCCCGCTCACCCACCTACCTTCAGTACGGGTCCGTAACGGCTAAAATGTCGTGTTAAATACTGCTCGGTGACGCTGGAGGACAAGCCATCAATCCACACACAGTTTGTGGGCATGCTTTTCCCAAATCCCAGCTGTGGGGGAACAAAAATTCACCATGTAAGCAAACTTTCCCAGTCGTACAGAGAACATTCAATTCAGAGCAACTATAAAAAGAAAAGAACTTTGTGCCTATTCTACGGTCAAGACTGAGTGTGCAGTGGGGGGGTCTGAATCATATCATAGGAGTATATAGTGTAGGGGGGGAGGGGGGTGTCTGGATCATAGGTGTATAGTGTAGGGGGGGAAAGGTGTCTGGATCATAGGTGTATAGTGTAGGGGGGGAAAGGTGTCTGGATCATAGGTGTATAGTGTAGGGGGGGAAAGGTGTCTGGATCATAGGTGTATAGTGTAGGGGGGGAAAGGTGTCTGGATCATAGGTGTATAGTGTAGGGGGGGAAAGGTGTCTGGATCATAGGTGTATAGTGTAGGGGGGGAAAGGTGTCTGGATCATAGGTGTATAGTGTAGGGGGGGAAAGGTGTCTGGATCATAGGTGTATAGTGTAGGGGGGGAAAGGTGTCTGGATCATAGGTGTATAGTGTAGGGGGGGAAAGGTGTCTGGATCATAGGTGTATAGTGTAGGGGGGGAAAGGTGTCTGGATCATAGGTGTATAGTGTAGGGGGGGAAAGGTGTCTGGATCATAGGTGTATAGTGTAGGGGGGGAAAGGTGTCTGGATCATAGGTGTATAGTGTAGGGGGGGAAAGGTGTCTGGATCATAGGTGTATAGTGTAGGGGGGGAAAGGTGTCTGGATCATAGGTGTATAGTGTAGGGGGTGTATGGATCATAGGTATACAATGTGGGAGGGCTTCCTGGATTATGGACATACATGGATCACAGGTTTACTATGTAGGGGGGCTGCATCGATTGTGAGGAGGCAGCATAGGGGGCTGCATGGATTGTGAGGAGGCAGCATAGGGGGCCTGACTGGGTGGGACAGGGGCTGCGTACTGGGTGGGGGGGATCCTGGAGTAGCTTTAAGCATGGCCCAGCAGAACCCAAACATTTATGTTCTGAATTGTATGTATTATTTCCCTTCAGGTGTTAAACAAGTGGACGTTGTCAGAGCTGTAAATGGCCATAGGCCGGCCTCCCAGCAATAGGCCCCTAATCTGTTGCATTGTGACCATCACAACAACACAACTGCTAGAAAAGAAGAGGGTTATGGGTTATGTACAAGAGTACAGGATCTCTGGGGCACGCAGCCTTTGTGCTAAAGGGAACCTTGTTGGAATAGAAATATAAAAGCGATGAATAGGAAGAAAGAGATCCCTTTATAACAGCAGGGGAGCAGACCAGGGATCCTAAAGTTTCATATCCTGTAGCTCAACTTTACTAGCTGCAAAAATCTGTATGTTCCTGCGTTTCCTCTCTGCACTGTGTCCCCTTCCACTGCATCTTCTGACTTCCATTAGTGCGATCTAATGCATCAGGACTACATGTCCCAGGATTCCTTGCCTGCTGCACACCACCCCGAGCGCAGTATCCCAGGATTCCTTGCCCGCTGCAGGTGACCCCGAGCACAGTATCCCAGGATTCCTTACATGCTACCCGTAATGTATATGGTTCCCTGAGCCCAGCACCAAAGCATGGTACCAAGCGGCATGTGAACATGCAACCCCACCCAGGAGCATGCATGTCAGGGTGGCTACACGTGACCCTCAGGAAGGTCCTGCAAGGCGATGTAGCCACCCTATAGGTGGAAATTAAGCACACCAAACTGTCACAGGCTCATTATGCTGCAAAGACTGCACACAGAATGGACAGGAAATGAAGATGTAAGGTGCGCAGCTACAACTGTTTTCCCATGAAGGGTTCAGTAACACTTTAAAGCTACTGTATAGCACATGCAGGTGAAGAGCCGCCTGGTCCGAGCATGGTCCCGCGGGCTCAGGAGAGATTCTATTTTAATGCCCCCAACTTCCAGTCAGTCTGACATTTCCAGGAAGGAGTAGAAAGAAGCCGATTGGCTATGGTGCCCTATACCTTCAACCGGTTGTTCCCCAGGTACTCTCCATCCATCTTCTTAATGGCTTTGCAGACACTGGTGATATCGCTGTACTGCAGAAAAGCGTACTGTGGAACCCCATTCAGCTTCTTCACATCAATATCCTGGACAGGAGAGGAGAGGAATACAGTCAGATCAATAGGAGCGAGCGCGGAATGAACACACACCCAGCTGGAACTTTAACAGGATTAACAATGGACAGACACACAGACCTACAGCCGGGACATATCGATCGCTAATGAAAGCCAAAAATCAAAGTTTGCCTCTCAGGTCTGAGATATTGATTCACATCCGAGGCTGGGAGGTGAAAACGCATCTAAAAACACTCAGCGCGACACAGCCCGTTCACTGAGGTGCAGGAGACGCCGCCGCGTGCAATGCAAAGCCAACGTACCACAATCTCTCCGAAGCGCTGGAATACGTTGTGCAGGTCGAGGTGCGTGGTGGTTTTCTCCAAGTTACCGATGAAGAGGGTCCGTGTGGCCTTGGGGTGAAATTCATCTATTCTCTCATCCAGAGGCCGAAATTCATTCTCGCTTTCCGTTTCTGGAGGGACGACAAGAACAACATTTAATATGCAACGCAGGAATTTTATTTGGCTTATTAGTTCCCCTGAAAGTGCCAACAGTCCCCCTAACAGAGCCGACGGTGACTTGCCCTCTCCATGCTCCAGCGTTGTGCCTGGTCATATCGCCCAGTTCCTGTAACCCCAAGGACTGGCAGTACTCCAGGACTGAGTGTCATTACATGAGCGCCGCTCAGTCCTGGAAGAATGCCCGCCACGACGACATCACAAGACTGACAAGGAGACTTGACAAGGAGACTTGAAGTGAAAAGGAGTATATATATATTAGGGATGCACCGATACTAGTATCGGTATCGGTGCCGATACCGAGTATTTGGGTGAGTACTCGTACTCGCCCAAATGCTCCGATACCTAGCACGAGTACTTCCTGTATCAGGAAGCCGGGTAGCGTGTAATGATGCGCTGCCCGGCTTCACGATTGGTCAGAAAGCTAGCCAATCCGGAAGCCAGGTGCCGTGTAATGACGCAGCGTCCGGCATTCTGATTGGCCGGGAAGCTGGCGTCATGCTCCCTCGTCATCTCATGAATCATAATATTAAGAAACTGACCTAAAATCATTAGTTTGTATTGCTTTAGAAAAAATGTGACCCGGTCCTTTAAGAAAAAGTATCGGTAATTGGTATCTGCGAGTACTTGATCAAAAGTATCGGTACTCATACTCGGTCTTAAAAAAGTGGTATTGGTGCATCCCTAATACATATATATATATAGGGGTGCCAAACCAGGATGGGGGAGGAGAGGGGAATCATGGGGCTCCAGCTTTAGGGCTTGTTCACACCATTTTCTGGTCCAGATCTGCAGACGCGGTGCATGGCGTGCAGCGCATTTTTGATGCATTTTTTTTATGGTGTATACTTTGAATTGTTCACTTTAAGCCTGATGAAGGGGACCCTGCGCGGCCCCGAAAATTGACGTGTTTGTCATTCTGGAGTGCTGGTGACATATCCTATAACAATTCTTACCGCGTTCCAGGTTTTTTTGGGGGGGTGGGGGGGCTGTCAGTATGCAGATTCTTGCTCTGAGGTCACTTCCGGCCTTCATCAAAAGTGGAGCAAGAATACACTTTTTTTTCCAGTTAGCTGCAGTGCGTTTCCAGCGCGTTTTCGTTGCGTTTTTGACGCGGCCGTACGCGTTCCGGACCAGAAAAAAATGTGACATGCAGTATTTTTTCTGTCCGGAACAGAAAGCGCCGCTCTGGTTTGAACTGGAGCACATAAAACACATAGGGATGCATTGTGATGCGTTTTTAGTGCAGGGGCGAACTGTTCTGGTCTGGACAGAATCCGGACATGGTGTGAACAAGCCCTTAAAGCTCAGAGAATGTGATCAGAGAGAGGTGGAACGATTCCCCAACAGGAGCTTTGCTGTTACAACATACCATACACTGGCAGTCTGCATACCCCAAAGACGGGGACGCTTCGGCGCACACACAGGGCTGAAAACCCCATTAGGGGCCAATTATCTTCAATTAGGATTTTTAGATATTGGAGAATGGGATTTGCTGACTTTCATCTCCTCAATGTCCGTCAATGATTATATGTACACGGGGGCAGCCATATTTACTCATTACCTAAGCAAGTCCCGCTTCCTTCTTAGCAATGCTGCACAGTGATTGTGCCCTACTCATCTCATCTCTCGCAGTGTGATTTGTAAAGGGGGTTTCAGCCCTTCGGAAAGGGTAACTTACCCGGGCCGACCCAGGCTGTGACTTCTATCTGCATGCCGAAGAACAGCTTGCCCTTTGACGCGTTAAGTGCTTTCTCCTGATCTTCCTGCTGCCTGAAGAAGACCAGACCATAGCGCTCCTCGGACACCCCGTGTATCTGCACCGACGTCACCTTTCCATACTTCTTAAACTCGTGGAAGAGGCCATCTTTAAGGCTTGTATCTGGAGGGGGGAAAAAAAAAAAAACACACACAAACCCGTTACGTAACCAAAAGACACAACCGACGTTGTCATATCACCAGATCATCATAAAACCTGACACTGAGGAACGCAGCCGATGAGTCACCGGCCAATGAGAGAGTCACCGGCCAATGAGAGAGTCACCGGCCAATGAGAGAGTCACCGGCCAATGAGAGAGTCACCGGCCATGCCCTTCTGTGCTCCCTAGACAAGCAAAGATGAAATCCCTTCTGCACCGTCCTCACACATTAAGGCCCCATTCACACTGAGCAAATCGCACGTTTGCCGTGCGATTTGCATTTTGCGCGATATCGTGCAAATGCTTCCATTGAGCAAACTAGAATCGCGGCAAAATCCGCTCCAAAAAGGGTCCTGCTGTAGCGACGCACGACCCGCGACAGCGACGGACAGAGCCCCATTGCCATGCGGTATCGCTCAGTTTGAATGGGGCCTCAAACCTCCTATCGTCCGGACGGCAGACTCACAACGGGCCGGTTGCAGTAACAAAGGCTTTTTTTTTCTGCTCGCGCATGGGCAGAAAAAACACGCCCGTTCTTTACAGCCGTTTACAGTGTCTGTGATATACATACGATGGGCGGCTCTATAGCCTGCCGATCGTATGTATGCGCTGTCTTTGCGCGTTAGGGTTGCTATCCTTGCCGATCTCCCTCCGAGGTCTGAATGCAGAAGTGACGTGTATTACATCACTTCCGCATTCGCCTGTCAGTCATCTGGCTGCTATAGCCAGAGAGAAGAAGCTGATGAAGCAGATCCCGGCTTCATTAGCTTTTTTGGGGGGTCCCCAGGTGACATTAGGGGTCTTGGACCCCTAAGGCCCGGTTCACACCTGCGCGTTCCTACGCTCTGCAAAACGCTCAAACACCGAAATCCCATTATTTCCTATGGGTATGCTTCACAGCTGGGCGTATTACAGGCCGTATGAACGCACTACAAAACGCCCAAAGAAGTACAGGAGCTTCTTTGGGGCATATTTGCCGCGCGTGTCCATTGGGATACAGCCAGGTAGCCCTCGGAAACGCGCGTTTGTCACGCGTTTTTTTTAACCGCGAATCGCGGTAAAAACGCGCGACAAGCACGCATATTCGATACGCCTAGGTGTGAACCCTGCCTAATAATGTCTTTTTTTTAGGTTTCGGGGGCGCGCACAATTTTAAGGCTTGACATGTTTGGTGACCCCGACTTTTATATTTTAGCCAAAAATTGGGTAATAATAAATGTTTTATCATTTAATATAGGGGGAAACTTTTTTTTAAAGTTTCGGTAATTGTTCCTTAATATATAAAAAAAAATAACCCCCCCCCCCAGTGGTGATTAAATGCCCCCAAAAGAAAGCTCTATGTGTCCCCAAAAAAATTGTATAAAATTTGTTTCAGTACAGCGTTGCATGACGGAATAAACGTCAGTCAAAGCACCGCAGCTCTGAAAACTGAAAAATGTCCGCCACAGGAAGGGGGTGTAACACCGCGGACTTCAAGTGGCTAATGTTCTCACACATACAATGGAGGAGGCTTCCCGGATCACAGAGCCACGTTCCAGAATACCGTCCCGTGTCCATTCCACGACTCCACCATCGGATGACATTCGTGAGTGAATAAATCTACCCAGAGCGGCGAGGGGCCAAGATTCACCCAATGTGATAACACCGGCATGGGAAGGGTCACGGTGAATGTTGGTCAGCAGACAATGAGAACCAGGCTAAAGGTCGCCACTAATATGACACATGTATGTGAAGTGTATGTACATTTCTAGAATACACATACAAATGGTGTGGTTGTACCTCTCCTCCCTCCCCCACCCCCAATCCATGACCAGGACAAAGGCCGCCACTAATATGACACATGTATGTGAAGTGTATGTACATTTCTAGAATACACATACAAATGGTGTGGTTGTACCTCTCCTCCCTCCCCCACCCCCAATCCATGACCAGGACAAAGGCCGCCACTAATATGACACATGTGAAGTGTTTTTTCATTTCTAGGATACACATACAAATGCTGTGGTTGTCCCCTCCCCCCCCCATATTCCATGACCAGGATAAAGGCCGCCACTAATATGACACATGTATGTGAAGTGTATGTACATTTCTAGGATACACATACAAATGCTGTGGTTGTACCCCCCTCCCCCATTCCATGACCAGGATAAAGGCCTCCGGTGTATAGTCTACCTGTAGAACGCACGGGGAGATTTTGGACTTTGATCCCGAAACTTTTGCGTGGTTCATCCTTGTCCAGGGAGAGGAGCGGCTGGACCGGAGGCGCGGGAACTGCGGCCGACTGTACCGACCTGGCGGGAGATTCATCGCTTGACGTACTGCTGGAATCACTGCTGCAAACAAAAACAACAAAAAAAAACACCAATCAGAATGGCCGAGGGCCAGGACGCGGCATCATACAATGACACTGACCCCTTGCCTCCCCACACCCCTTCAGCATTCATTATCTCTGAACCAGGTAGGACTGTCATGGCCAATAGCTCTGCGCTGGTCACATGACCCAGCGTGCGACCAATGTGGCATCACCTCTATGAGAGCAGAAGGCGAGACGCACATACATGATATGTAATCACCGATATAAACAGATTGTAATAACGTCTCGCACATCCAGAAGGGGGCGCTCCACACTCACAAGTCAGAGACAACACGGCACTGACACCCATGTTCAGACACATTGCCGGGAGGACAGGGGAACATACAGAACATGAAACGGCTGCATTTCCACAAGAGAACCTGTCACGTCATCAATAGCAGTGTGGACAGCTTCCCTAGTTCCAGTGTGAATTAAGAGACCCATCAGGATAGAAACATGGGAGGGGGAGGGGGGGTAGTGGCACGGCTGACTTGTCATTTAAGAGGGGCTGTCCTCATCATTCCTTCTTTACTTGGCTAGTCACTGACCTGGAACAAGCATGCACATATTTGTAGGCTCCAGGTCAGTGAATCTCTTGGTAGAGGAGGTAGAATCAGGATACCAGCCCGGGACCTGATAAACCAAGTCTGCAATGGAAGCCCCTCGAACGGTGACAACATCACAGAACGGTCTCAGGGAAAACGCATATTATAGGGACAACTCGGCAAGCACAGAACACAACACAACCCCCCCGGCATCTCCAAACTCAATGCCCCCGTCCGGCATCTCCATACTCATTGCCTCCTTTACGTAGAGTTACCCCTCATCATCCTACCTCCTATACGTAGTTACCCCTCATCATCCTACCTCCTATACGTAGTTACCCCTCATCATCCTACCTCCTATACGTAGAGTTACCCCTCATCATCCTACCTCCTATACGTAGAGTTACCCCTCATCATCCTACCTCCTATACGTAGAGTTACCCCTCATCATCCTACCTCCTATACGTAGAGTTACACCTCATCATCCTACCTCCTATACGTAGAGTTACCCCTCATCATCCTACCTCCTATACGTAGAGTTACCCCTCATCATCCTACTTCCTATACGTAGAGTTACACCTCATCATCCTACCTGATATACGTAGAGTTACACCTCATCATCCTACCTCCTATACGTAGTTACCCCTCATCATCCTACCTCCTATACGTAGAGTTACCCCTCATCATCCTACTTCCTATACGTAGAGTTACCCCTCATCATCCTACTTCCTATACGTAGAGTTACCCCTCATCATCCTACTTCCTATACGTAGAGTTACCCCTCATCATCCTACTTCCTATACGTAGAGTTACCCCTCATCATCCTACTTCCTATACGTAGAGTTACCCCTCATCATCCTACTTCCTATACGTAGAGTTACCCCTCATCATCCTACTTCCTATACGTAGAGTTACCCCTCATCATCCTACTTCCTATACGTAGAGTTACCCCTCATCATCCTACTTCCTATACGTAGAGTTACCCCTCATCATCCTACTTCCTATACGTAGAGTTACCCCTCATCATCCTACTTCCTATACGTAGAGTTACCCCTCATCATCCTACTTCCTATACGTAGAGTTACCCCTCATCATCCTACTTCCTATACGTAGAGTTACCCCTCATCATCCTACTTCCTATACGTAGAGTTACCCCTCATCATCCTACTTCCTATACGTAGAGTTACCCCTCATCATCCTACTTCCTATACGTAGAGTTACCCCTCATCATCCTACTTCCTATACGTAGAGTTACCCCTCATCATCCTACTTCCTATACGTAGAGTTACCCCTCATCATCCTACTTCCTATACGTAGAGTTACCCCTCATCATCCTACTTCCTATACGTAGAGTTACCCCTCATCATCCTACTTCCTATACGTAGAGTTACCCCTCATCATCCTACTTCCTATACGTAGAGTTACCCCTCATCATCCTACTTCCTATACGTAGAGTTACCCCTCATCATCCTACTTCCTATACGTAGAGTTACCCCTCATCATCCTACTTCCTATACGTAGAGTTACCCCTCATCATCCTACTTCCTATACGTAGAGTTACCCCTCATCATCCTACTTCCTATACGTAGAGTTACCCCTCATCATCCTACTTCCTATACGTAGAGTTACCCCTCATCATCCTACTTCCTATACGTAGAGTTACCCCTCATCATCCTACTTCCTATACGTAGAGTTACCCCTCATCATCCTACTTCCTATACGTAGAGTTACCCCTCATCATCCTACTTCCTATACGTAGAGTTACCCCTCATCATCCTACTTCCTATACGTAGAGTTACCCCTCATCATCCTACTTCCTATACGTAGAGTTACCCCTCATCATCCTACTTCCTATACGTAGAGTTACCCCTCATCATCCTACTTCCTATACGTAGAGTTACCCCTCATCATCCTACTTCCTATACGTAGAGTTACCCCTCATCATCCTACTTCCTATACGTAGAGTTACCCCTCATCATCCTACTTCCTATACGTAGAGTTACCCCTCATCATCCTACTTCCTATACGTAGAGTTACCCCTCATCATCCTACTTCCTATACGTAGAGTTACCCCTCATCATCCTACTTCCTATACGTAGAGTTACCCCTCATCATCCTACTTCCTATACGTAGAGTTACCCCTCATCATCCTACTTCCTATACGTAGAGTTACCCCTCATCATCCTACTTCCTATACGTAGAGTTACCCCTCATCATCCTACTTCCTATACGTAGAGTTACCCCTCATCATCCTACTTCCTATACGTAGAGTTACCCCTCATCATCCTACTTCCTATACGTAGAGTTACCCCTCATCATCCTACTTCCTATACGTAGAGTTACCCCTCATCATCCTACTTCCTATACGTAGAGTTACCCCTCATCATCCTACTTCCTATACGTAGAGTTACCCCTCATCATCCTACTTCCTATACGTAGAGTTACCCCTCATCATCCTACTTCCTATACGTAGAGTTACCCCTCATCATCCTACTTCCTATACGTAGAGTTACCCCTCATCATCCTACTTCCTATACGTAGAGTTACCCCTCATCATCCTACTTCCTATACGTAGAGTTACCCCTCATCATCCTACTTCCTATACGTAGAGTTACCCCTCATCATCCTACTTCCTATACGTAGAGTTACCCCTCATCATCCTACTTCCTATACGTAGAGTTACCCCTCATCATCCTACTTCCTATACGTAGAGTTACCCCTCATCATCCTACTTCCTATACGTAGAGTTACCCCTCATCATCCTACTTCCTATACGTAGAGTTACCCCTCATCATCCTACTTCCTATACGTAGAGTTACCCCTCATCATCCTACTTCCTATACGTAGAGTTACCCCTCATCATCCTACTTCCTATACGTAGAGTTACCCCTCATCATCCTACTTCCTATACGTAGAGTTACCCCTCATCATCCTACTTCCTATACGTAGAGTTACCCCTCATCATCCTACTTCCTATACGTAGAGTTACCCCTCATCATCCTACTTCCTATACGTAGAGTTACCCCTCATCATCCTACTTCCTATACGTAGAGTTACCCCTCATCATCCTACTTCCTATACGTAGAGTTACCCCTCATCATCCTACTTCCTATACGTAGAGTTACCCCTCATCATCCTACTTCCTATACGTAGAGTTACCCCTCATCATCCTACTTCCTATACGTAGAGTTACCCCTCATCATCCTACTTCCTATACGTAGAGTTACCCCTCATCATCCTACTTCCTATACGTAGAGTTACCCCTCATCATCCTACTTCCTATACGTAGAGTTACCCCTCATCATCCTACTTCCTATACGTAGAGTTACCCCTCATCATCCTACTTCCTATACGTAGAGTTACCCCTCATCATCCTACTTCCTATACGTAGAGTTACCCCTCATCATCCTACTTCCTATACGTAGAGTTACCCCTCATCATCCTACTTCCTATACGTAGAGTTACCCCTCATCATCCTACTTCCTATACGTAGAGTTACCCCTCATCATCCTACTTCCTATACGTAGAGTTACCCCTCATCATCCTACTTCCTATACGTAGAGTTACCCCTCATCATCCTACTTCCTATACGTAGAGTTACCCCTCATCATCCTACTTCCTATACGTAGAGTTACCCCTCATCATCCTACTTCCTATACGTAGAGTTACCCCTCATCATCCTACTTCCTATACGTAGAGTTACCCCTCATCATCCTACTTCCTATACGTAGAGTTACCCCTCATCATCCTACTTCCTATACGTAGAGTTACCCCTCATCATCCTACCTCCTATACGTAGAGTTACACATCATCCTACCTCCTATACGTAGTGTTACACCTCATCATCCTACTTCCTATATGTAGAGTTACCCCTCATCATCCTACCTCCTATACGTAGTTACCCCTCATCATCCTACCTCCTATACGTAGAGTTACCCCTCATCATCCTACCTCCTATACGTAGTGTTACACCTCATCATCCTACCTCCTATACGTAGAGTTACCCCTCATCATCCTACCTCCTATACGTAGAGTTACCCCTCATCTTACCTACTTTACACAGGATGTGGAGATACAACTGCATCCCTGACAGATCATCTCTCCAGCATCCAACAGATGCTGAAATATCAGATTTGGGTGGACTTATCCTTTAATAAATGGATGCTCGGAGATCAGTGACCACGCTACGACAAAATAAGGCAGAAAAAATGAAATATTCCATCAATAGACCCCGCATCATAAATCAGAATTCCGGGTCCGTAAACAAACTGCTTCTGTTACCAACAGGCAGCCAATTAGAGCCTTCCGTTCCTGTTTCTAGGGCAGGTCAGAGATGTAAGGGAGAGCTGGTTGCCATGGTCACCGCTGACAATCTCATACATAAAGCTTGGAAGCCCCAGAATATCCATCCAGGGCAGGACCGATGCTGAACGCC